TGACCTTCCTACTGGGCATAGAGAGGAACCTGATCAAGGCTGGGGCCTCTCAGGGGCAGAGGGGTGTCGGGGAGAACCCATAGACTCAAGGCCTAGATAGTCCAAACACATATCCTGGGCAAAGCTGTGACAAAAGGGGCTTCCGCACCCGTGAGAGAGCGGTAGACAAAGTTCCGCATCTGTGGTTCTCAACCCTTGGCTCACCTTAGGATCACCTGGGGAGTTTTAAAAAAATAATGATGCCCAGGCCCCACCCTAGATCAACATCATCATCATCTCAAGCACCAGGCATGAGGATTTTTAAAAGTCATCTCGAGTGATTCAAACGTGATCAAGGATGAGAAGCACACAGAGCTTCAATGTCCACATGGTGGCTATTGTAATTAGTAAGAATTAAACACTCAGCCCCTCAGTCACACTAGCCACATTTCAAGTGCTCAGTAGCCACATGTGGCTAGTGGCTACCATACTGGACCACACAGAAATAAAACATTTGCATTACTGTGGAGATTTTATTGGACAGCGCTGCACAGAAGTTTGGGTCCCTGGCTTTAGAGGACCAAGGTTATAGGGCCATGACTGGCATGAAGTAAACTTGTCCAGGAACTAAGTTTTCAGGTGCCTCAGTCACCCCTTTCTGTGCCCTTACCCCCAAACCTGTCCTTCATCACTTGCCTTTAGCTAGTTCTTCCCGGTCTATCAAAAGCTTCTCAGAAAAGATTTGTGAAAATTCACATTTCATCCTTCAAGATCCAACTCAATAGTCACCTCTTCTGAGAAGCTTTCCCAGCTTGTCCCAGGGCCTAGGCCCCTGAGATCCACCCAAGCTTACTTAGCTCCTTTCTCATCTCTGCTCTCAAAGACTGAAAGCCCATTTGTCTGCTTGTCTGTCCCACAAGGCCATGAACTCTGGCAGGAACTGTGCCACATCCTTGCTTGTAACTCAGTAACTAAGAGTATCTGGCACACAGCAGGTGCTCAGTAAATGTGTGTCAAAGGATAATAATGCATAAACAAAGGCATGGTAATGCAAATACTAACCAGATTTAATAGGTGGCCTTTTTTTAGGAACAAATAACTAACAACTATAATTCAGGGCCAACCAGAGGAGATATTTTCAGCAGAGGGGCTTCCCCAGTTTCTGATGGGGATAGGTCCAGGTTTAAAATGTACCTGGTCACCAGGCTGTGGATAGAATGTGTATTTCAAGACTTCAAGCAAGGATTGGTAGAAAAGAAATAAAACAAAAACAAAATTCCTGCCCCTCTCCCTCCTTCCCAGACCAGGGCCCAGAAGCCCCAGGAAGTATCCAGAAAGGCCAGAGAATCTCAGCAGGCCTTTCCCCGGGCTTCAAGTGCTGCGAGGCTGCTTGGGAAGTGCCATGCCTATGGAGTAATAGTCACTTTAGTTCCAGAGCAAGAGGACCTAGGTCCTTGGCTTGGATCTCTTACTGCTTAGCTAGGTGACCTTCAGAGTCATTTGTAGAACTGTGGTAAGAGTACAAGCCAGGTATACCTGGTCTGAGGTTCAAATGAGGTGACAAACCCAAAAGCACCTTGTAGACTCCAAAGGGCTACTCCCAAATAAGGTGGGTCCTGGTGGGGCCTCTACCAGTTGATCCCATGTGCCTCTGGGCAGGCATGGGGGAGCCAGGAAGCTGCCAGAACCTGGGCTGTTCGAAGCTGGCAGAGCTGTGCACTCCCTGCAGGGCTTAGGATTCAGACATCTTGTAGTTCAAGGACTTCTGGCTGGAGGGAGGGAACAGGTAGGAGACCGGAGGGCAAAGTGGCCTGGAGAGCAGGAGATGCCAGTTGGCAGGCAGGGTCGGGAAAGCTGGCTTCAGGTCTGCAATCAGAAGGGCTTAGCCAAACCCCAAACCACTATCCGGCCAGAGGCAGGAAAGTGAATCAGAGGCAACCAGGAAGAAGCCTGAGGTTAACCTCATGCAGACTGCGGGCCACAGTGGGGAAGGGATTGGTGGGGGCCTGGGGTCTGGGCAGGGCCTGGGTGGGCATCTGAAGACCCCTTGAGGAAGACACTAAAGTCCTTAAGGGGTGGGCAGTGACCAAGCAACCCGAGGCTTAGGTCAGCTGCTGGGCAGCCCTGGGGGAAAGAGCCCATGTTTCCCAGGCAGCACCCACTCCTCCCCTCGCCCCCGCAAAGGCCCTCTCTGCCAGAGCAGCACTTTTGCCCTCTGGGAAGGGGGCTTGGCCAGGCTCTGCTGCCGTGGATACTGGAACTGCTGAGGGAGCAAGGTAGACTGTGCCTGCCTGGAAAGCCCCATGGCAAAGTGGCTGAACCACAGAAGGCTCACTCCCGACCACTGGTCTGGGACCACAGGAAAGCCCACAGGCTGTCCCCCACGGCCTTGTCCAGTGCCCACACTGACTCAGCTCAAGGACTGGGTGGCTGGGAGTCAGGAGAGGTTATGAACTTGGGGTGGTTGTGGAAGCTGGATCAGGGGAGTTGTTGGGTGAATTCCTGGAGGAAGGCTGGGTCAGAATCCCAAGTTGGATTCCCGAGTCACTTATGACCTATCGTCCAATCTCTTTCTTGTCCTCCTCCCACAAGCTTTCCCCACAACAGCTCCAGCCCCCCGGCCCTGCCCCTGCTCTGAGGTCTTGGACACCTGCTCACCCACTTACTATTCAGTCTCTGTGCATGTACCTAGTGAGTCTGTGAAGGCAGGGGCTTCATTCTCATTCATTCATTCCCCCACTTATTGCTAGACACTGAGCATAAAATGGTGAGCAAAAGAGTCAGTGGGGAAGACAGATGTTAGTCAAGTAATCACATGAAAAAGTGTATCATCATAATACCTGAATATAGGTAGGAAGACACAGATGCTGTGAGAGCTTATAATAGGGGACCTGACCCAGGGATGCAGGGTCTTGCAGGCCTTCAGGAGAATTAAGGTGACAGGATGCCATGGAAGCTTATAAGCAGTGATGTCTGGTCTATTCCTCCCCCTTACCCAGTACTGCCAACAAGATTTAACAGCTTTCATTTACTAATTACCTGGTTGGTATTTGAGGCACTTTATAAACTGCTATTTCATCCCACTGTACAATAGTTCTGTAGGTAGGTACTAATATCCTCTTTTATAGATGTAGGAACGAGGGTTTAGAGAAACTTAATAATTTGGGCAGGGTCACAGCAGCTGGTAAGTGACAGAGCCTGGATCTGAACCTGGGTTTGGCTGTTTTCAAAGCTCATGCTCTTGCCACATCACACTCTAGCTAGTATTTAATATATGCTTGTACAAATAAACAGCTCATGCCAGCCTGGTAGACTTTGAAGTTCCCCCAGGGTCTCAGCATCCTCCTTTTTCCCCACAGAAGGATTGTGCAGTTTGGCACTGGGCAGGGAGTGCCTATAACAGATCCCTGCTCTCTCAGCTCTACTGCTAACCCTAAACCCACCAGGAAAGAACGAAGGAACACTCCTGGGTGGTGTGCCTATTGCTTGGACCTCTGGGAAAGTTCCAGTCCCTTGATTGCAAATCATTCCCTCTAACTTCCTTTGGCTTGCATCCTTTGTGACCCATGCATTCTCTTCCTCCCCCTCCCCCTCCCAGTCCCCGGGTTAATTATTGGCCCAGTTGACATCTGGGCATTGATCACTCCAGCTGGCAACAGGCTTTGGTATTACTCTTATTTTGGCTGCTAGTGACCTTCTTGGATAAAGAGACTCGAAATTTGCTCCCCAAGAACCCAGCATGATCTCCAGGGGAGGTTACAGACCTGTGCTGGGCTGTTTGGGCAATGCTGGATCAGGACCACTGAGTGTGACATCTGCAGGTTCAACATGCTCTAGTGATTCTGGGGAGAGAAGCAGAAGGCTGGGGGCAGGAGGGCCTAGGGAATGGGGACAGAGCCTTCCCTGTCTCAAAGAAGCATCATTTTCAGAGCACTCTGTGGATGCCCAATCCATGTTGGTTTTGCTGATATGAGCTCCGCACCCACATGCAGGAACCAAATAGAAATTATGGAATTGAAATGTACAATAAACAAAATGAAAAATTCACTAGACAGGCCTTGGTAATGGTAGTGCTGCATCTTCAATTTGATGGTATCTTAGATTCAATTAAATACAACATGTATCAAGACTACTCAATTTGTTTTACATAGACTC